TCAAGCTCTGATCTAATCCAATACAGCCAGACCTGAAATTGGTTTGAAACGGTCAGCTTTCCAGACCGAACCGTCTCTGCACGAAGTTACCAAAACCGGCGGACAATACGTACGTACGCTGTTTGCTTTTAATAGAGGATGTCACTGCAGGACGTAGCCCAGGAACAAAGCCATAATGGGCCCCCATGGTTCGCACTGCGCATCGCGGGATCATCATCTGCGTCATCATGGAGCATGGGTAACTTGAGGACCACTGCTGTACATGGAAAGATTAAAATTGTCCTGAAGCATCCACGTAGGCCCTCTACCCCAACCATCCGCTGCCATATAAGCTCATGACCATTTAAACATAAGGTCATCGCGAGCAAGGATATCGCGTATGGAATCGCGGTCAGTCACGTTAGTTCCGGTCCTGAGCAGGTAGGCGAGTTCTCAGAAGTAACCAGCCCGTTCTGACGTGAGCTACGTATAAAATGGAACCGATAAACCGGATTTCCTGTACCGTAAGAGAGACTCGTCACCCCGACCACTGTGATCGCAAAAAAAAATATCTGCAGCCAAACCCAACTCGAAGCAATGACCTAACTAGCGTGACATACAATCTCAGGAAACAAAGCCCTATTTTTGCAGCTCTAAATGCAAACAATAATGTTATCTTTCGTTAGCGTAATGCGCCTAGTCATGACGCGCCGAAGCCTGAATGGCGATTAGGGAGCGGGAGAATGCAAGTATTGTGGGAGAAATTGCACGTCACGTTTGATGCTAAAACGACTAACCGTCCAACCGACAAAAATATACAATTGAACAACTGAAAAAACCGTCAACCATGTTCCGCCCAGTGCCTTTGAGGCAGTTGTATTGCTCATAAAGGATAGCAGGATCACAAATGCGTACGGCCCTTGTCTTTCGCGGCCATGCACCGGTGCACTCCTCTCAGAAGGCGGAAATCCCAGCGGTCAATTGTGACCGCCTGCATGCATACCAGTGCATTTTTGGCACCACGCGGCGTCCCATCTTCCTGACAAGGGCTCTGCGGCGACATCTCACCGCAGTGGATCCTGGTGCGACGTCCCGGGCGCGTGTCGCGTCCTCTGTCCTCGGGTGGCCGCAGCCACTCTGGGTGTCCCCGGCCTGCCTCACGTATAGGAGGTACTGCAGGCACGCTTCCGAATGGAGGCAGTGCACGATGGAAGTGCTGTGATAAGGCACGATGTGCTTGGAGCTCAGTCTGTGGCCATGGTCAGTTGCGGGCTCTACACGTCTGTTTCACACCGTTTCTATCTACCGGAGGAAGACTAAGTATCTTTTCACAGGACGGCATGCTTTAGACTTGCCACGAGTGCATCTTTCAAATTACGTAGGATGTCGGTAGAACCACGCTATCTCTGCTGTTTTCCTACTCTCCGATTCATGGATAGAACGCCAATATACATATATAAGTATATATATAGTATATATATATATAGATATATATATATATATATGTATAGTGTTAACTCTATTCATGAGATCCCCATGGATAGAACCAACCACAGCTGTATCCACAGTTTCTATCCGCAGCGATGGCTGTCGAGCTCACGCCTCCACTCATCGTTGGGGTACCCCGGAACAGCCGGCGTTCAAACCTTCGGCGCTGCTGGCGTCAAATCCCTTTCGGTGTTTATAAACGCCGTGGACCAAAATACTAAGGCTTCGAATCGCGAAAAGGTCCGTCCCCACCCCTCACATTGGGTGAAAAACCCTCACGGGTTGTCGTCCTTGCTGTAACAATATCTGAATCTGAGCCTGAGGCCTAAGCCTAGACGCCGGTGGAGGGAGGAAATGACATCTTTTGTGCGCCCCTTCGCCATGATTTAGAAAATGTTCCAGACTGATGTAAGCAGCGTCAAGTCACAATATTGTGAGCTCAAGCACTCTTATCCTCTTTTTCATTTTTAATGGTTAATAACATACTTGTCACGGACTAGTCACGGACGGGGTCAACAATTCATTCCAGTACCAATGTGTGCGCTGCGTTCAACCTGTTCAACCAACCATCGTTCCACAAAAATTCACCTGCTTAATTTATCGCACTATAGAAAAAATGTTTCGACTACCAAATGCAGTTTTCTTTGCTGTTATAACTGAATGCAGTGAGCTATTTTCTATACAACTTTATGTTGCTATGATATGGACAGTTTTTGTTAGACTTTATCCCCTATACCATGCAGTTACTTCTTTAGGACATTGCAAAATCACTAGCATTATTGCCAGATTTTCTTCGCATCGTCACAGTTACATTGTTCAGGCAACATCGAATTTAGCAATGGACCCATTCGGGTCGAATGTCGTGTTGAATGACGCATATTTTGTTAGGTTTTGTATTTTACCCTCAGCAGACGTGCTTTACCTGGTTATCACATAGAATCTACAGACTGGGCTGGTCTGGAGCCCGAGCTGTTGTTAACAGCATCAGGGACCGAGCGCTAACCCGTTTCATGGGCCAGCGGGCAGCGGCGAACACTGGTCAACATTACTTCATCGCTGTGTCGCAAGCTGTGGAGCGCCTTCGCGAGGATCATAATATACACACGCATGCATACACACACACAACCACACACACAATATATATATATATATATATATATATATTATATATATATATATATACATATATACATATATATATATATATATATATATATATATATATATATATATATCTGTGTGTGTGTGTGTGTGTGTGGTGTGTGTGTGTGTGTGTGCGTGCGTGCGTGCGTGCGTTGCGTGCCGTGCGTGCGTGCGTGCGTGCGTGCGTGCGTGCGTGCGTGCGTGCGTGCGTGCGTGTGTGTGTGTGTGTGTGTGTGTGTGTGTGTGTGGTGTGTGGTGTGTGTGTGTGTGTGTGTGTGGTGTGTGTGTGTGTGTGTGTGTGGTGTGTGTGTGCATTCTATGGAAATGCGTATCCATTTGATAAAATGGAAAACACACAAAAATGGAAAACGTATGGTCTATCTTATGTAATGCAGCGTGATATAATGCAATGAAATAAATAGGTTTAAATCAAATGAATCGGTTACCAAATGGTTAAAATAATCATTGGGTAACTGACCTTAAACTTGCTATTCAATGTAGTTTGAAGTAATCCCATTTTCGATGGACTTTGCTATGGCCTTCGATCTCCGCTGTTGAGATCAGGGATTCCGATTGCTCGCGACTTGCCTTGAGACCCGCGGCTGGCCACCTGATTCAAGGCAGCAGCCCCCGCTGGACGAGAACGACGCCACTGCCGCTGTAAGCTGATCAGTTCGGTGGAACATCTTGGCCAGATCACCGACCGGCGAAGCTTGCCGTCGGATCAATGGCACTCTGCGGTCTGGGTAGCGGTCCAGCGGGCGCCCAGCAGCTCGGAGCTGGCCAGCCGGCGAGCTCCGGCCACGGTCACTCCCTCGCGGCCCGTTCGCGGAACCGTGACCTGGCCAACGCGCGACGCCGCACTCGCCTGCGCAGTAGCGCACGCGGGAGACGCGAGACGGCCTGCTGCGCAGACGAACCGGCCCATTTCTTCGAAGCCGCACCCAGGGTGGACGGCCGCGCCGTGACGCGAACACTCACCGCAGCGAAAACAGCGAAGAGAGTGGGGAGGATAACCGGGCCGGGTATGTGTACCCGCCCGTGCAGTGAACGGCTGGACCAGGGCGTTCGGGGGGCCCAGTCGGGAGTGTGGACATGCTGACGTCATGGACGGACAGCTCTCTGTGCTCCGTGACTCCTGTTATTTGGGTGCCTTGCATGCTCCCGAAACCACGAGTTATGTAATCCTTCCGTGTGGACGCGGACATCCACGGCGTGAAACGGCGACGTCGCCAGCAGATCCTCAGCCCTCAGCCCTGGGGTTCATCAGGTGCAGCGGAGTCACCGGTCGAGTTCGCAGCCTTTCGCACGTTTCTAGAACATTCGCGCGTCATAGTATGAAAACAGCAATCGCTACGTGTCCTATTCTATTCTGTTAAAGAAAACCGAGATCACGACGCGCGATTTCACGTCACGGATTGCAGTCCTGCTGTGTGGGTACGGACATTTCAAAGAGGCTAACTGATCAATTATTGAAGTATTGAATTATTGAATTAATTTTTTATAAAAAATATTGAAATAACAATTACTGAAGTATACTTCAGTCATATTTCATAGTTGCTGTCAGACAAGAACACCAGTTTGGTAAACCATTTCCTTGTAACGTAATACAGCTACAAAAGTTCCCGATGTTCTCATTTAACCTTGACATTTGACATTTTACCTGACCTCGACATTCGACATCTCACCTGATCCCTGACATTCGACATCTCACCTGGCTTTGACATTCGGCATCGAGGCAAGCTGATCCATGTGTTTGTGGATGGCCCTGGCTAACATAAACTGTAAATACCCACTACACCAATGTGAGCACGTGTTAGCGGTATGATTTCTCCATATGGCTCAGTGTTGGATGTAATAGCTTCAAGAAATTTTACTGCGTTAAAACATGTGGATATTCAATATGAGTGCAAAACGGATGTCACACCCTTTACTGCCTCGCACTTTTGTTGTCAACATTTTTCACGCACATATTAAGACATGTTAAAAGTTGGATCAGGCAGTGGCGGGCATTACGTGAGGACAACTCCTGACGTATGCTTGTTTGCATCACAGTGAACGGACGGCGCTTTTTTGTAGCTTGCTCCGGAATGATTTACAACAGTCTGTCAGTAAGCAATCGCGCACCTTTTGGCTTGACCTGAACCTCTGGACCCGTCCGTTCCCTGTATCACTGTTCCTCCCCATCCACAAGCACATCTAACCCCCGCTGCAAGACCGCCGGCCGGTCCGTAGCCCCCCAGTCCGCGGCGGCTAGCCTGCGCCAGACGTCACGACCGACGCGGGCCGCTGATTGGTCGGTGGCCGAGCCAGACGTCGGTACATATACTGCAGGTGTGGCGGCGACATTCAAGTCGGCCGGAGACCGCTGCGGCTACCGCAGCCGGACCTTTCGGGCAGTGCCACCGGTCCGAGGCCCGCCGACCCTCCCACCGCGCCGCCGGAGCCATCAGGCAGAGCCACCGATCCGAGGCCCACCGACCCTCCCACCGCGCGCCGCCATGCCCTCCTCGCTGTGGCGCGTGCTCGTGCTGGCCGCGAGCGCCGCCGTCTGCTCGGCTAGCCCGACGGGCTCGGTTGGTCACACACTCCACCTGCACATGACGCCGGCGGAGCTGCGTCACACGTTCTTCGTGTCGCGCCATGAAGACGTGCCAGAGTACGACCTGTTCCACGTGCGCTCGGTGCGCAAACGAAGCGCAGACGGCCGCCACCGTCGCAGCGTGCATGCGCGCGCCTTCGGCAACCGGATCGACCTGGATCTGGAGCCGAACCGTGAGATCCACAACCGGATCCGGCTGTTCTACGCGGACGCTGCCGACGGCGACGTGCGGATCGAGCGCGTGCGCGGCGACACGGACATGTTCGTGGGCGAGCCGTTCCAGGACGTCGGCAGCGACGCAGCGCTGCTCGTCGACCACGCGGCCGACGAGACTCTGCGCCTGAACGGCGTGGTGGCCGACATGGTGATCGCGCCGGCGCCGGCCCGCGTGCACGGACACTTCCCGGCGCCCAACGACGACGACATGATGCTAATGGAGGGGGAGCTGGCCGACCTGCACGTGATGAACGGCACGCGGCCGCGCGCGCGCCGCCGCCGCGCCGCCGCCGTCACGCACGGCCTGCACGTGATCTTCCGGCGGCGCTACCAGCTGGGCGAGGCCGGCGCCGCGCCGCTCGACATCACCAACGACCAGGCCATGCTGGAGCCGGAGCCGGACTCGGAGGGAGCGGCGGAGTCGCACAGCCGGCGACGGCGCAACGCCAACGACCTCTACCCGGAGGTGCTAATCATCGTCGATTACGACACGTACGCCGTGCACAACTACGACGCCAAGACTACCAAACGCTACCTCATGACCTTCATGAACGCGGTGGACCTGCGCTACAAGAAAGTATCCTACCCATCCATCACCATCAAGGTGGCCGGCATCGTCATCAGCAAGAGCAAGGAGGCAACACCGTACCTGGAGAGCAACCTGGTGGACGGGCAGTCGTTGGACGCTGTGTCGGCGCTAAGCTCCATCGGCCGCTATCTGTACAACGAGCACAGGCTGCCCAGCTATGACGCCGCCCTGGTGATAACCAAGCGTGATATGTGCTCGCGCAACGGCCACTGGGGCGGCTGCAACAAGGTGACCGCTGGCTACGCGTACGTTGGCGGTGGCTGCAGCATCAGCAAGTACTTCCGAAAGATCAACTCGGTGGCCCTGGTCGAGGACTCGGGCGGCTTCTCTGGAACGATCGTGGCCACACACGAGCTGGGCCACCTGATGGGTGCCGTGCACGACGGCTCACCGCCCGCCTCGTACGTCGGCGGGCCGGGCGCGCTCTCATGCTCCTGGGAAGACGGCTACATCATGTCCGACCTGCGCCGCGACTACAAGGGCCTGCAGTGGTCCGTCTGTAGCCTGGACCAGTTCGGTCACTTCTCGAGTAGCCAGCGCTCCACCTGCATGCGCAACTATCCCTCCCAGCGGAGCGAGTTTTCCAGCACGGCCACCTCGCTGCCGGGGAAGCTCATCAGCTTGGACGCGCAGTGCAAGCGAGACCGCGGCACAAGCGCCTGCTTCAAGGACCACCGCGTCTGCGCCGAGCTCTACTGCTTCGAGCCGTCCAGCGGCTACTGCGTGGCGTTCCGCCCGGCGGCCGAGGGCTCGTCCTGTGGCCAGGGTATGCACTGCCGCAACGGCTTCTGCGAGCCCGAGTCGTACGTGTACTGAGACGGCGCGACCGTGGCGCCGCCTGGGCCGCCGGCCCGGCGTTGGGGGCGGCGCCCGCGCGCCGCCCTGTCTCCTCAGGTATCTGAAGCGGCGCGCCGCTGCCGGCCGCAGACTAGCCCCCGCAGGCGGGCCTGCTGAGCTCTGAAGTGTGGCGTGTAGCGCTGCCGTCAACACGCTGGACGTGTGACATGTAAACGCTGGGCGTTTGGCAGCACGTGTTGCTGCAGCAGAGTAGTTAACGGCAATGGGTTCGCCGCTTATAGGTTTATAATGGTTTAAGATACCTCAGCCCATCGAGTGCTATACGCTGACGGAGTGCGTTGGACTGTTGCGTGCGTGGACAGTTGAGTGGGTGCATATTCATTGTCATGGTTGTGATGGTTTTGCTACCAAAGGTAAATAATATATAGTGGCAAAGAACGTCACGTGTCTCTGAGTGGTCATCAGGCAGTGAACATTTCCGAGGTACAATCACTCTCAATAACACAAAGAGGAGAATTAAGCACTCTGCAGCATTCCTATAGCATGAACCACTGCTGGCATACCGCGACAAGGAAACTTGCGACTTCATGTGTCGCGGCGTCGCAGACCAGGAAAGAAACATGGAAACGGGGATAAAATTGCAGGCGAGATACATGAGATTTCCCGGTCGTTACCACGGAGACACCGACACAGCGCTTGCGTGCTGGGCCTGACGTTATGGGCCTAAACTCACAACACACTCTGCGCCGTTTTGTGAGACACGGCAGACGACACTACATCTCGCACTGCTTCGCTCCCTCCCCCCCCCCCCCCCGCCCCCTCCAAACCAGCTGGGACCAGGCTTCTTCTAGACCCTAACGCCTCATTTGGCGGTGATGGATGGTCCACTGGTAATGATCAGCTGGTGGTGACGGATGGTCCACTAGCGATGATCAGCTGGCAACTACGGACAGTCCACTGGCGATGATCAGCTGGTGGTGACGGATAGCCCACTGGCGATGATCAGCTGGCGGTGACAGATAATCCAATGTTGATGGCTAGCTGGCGGTGACCGATAGTCAATTGGCGATGATCAGCTGGCGGTGACGGATGGTCCACTGGCGATGATCAGCTGGAGGATAGTCTCCCAATGAAGGAAGTTGATAACAAAAGTAACGCCTTACACAAGCGCCTTCTCCCCAACGAAAAAGGTAAACAAGGGATTTGACCCTCTTTATTTTGAAAGGACCTAATCTTTTTAGTTTTTTGTTTTGTTTTCTGTCATTCCGTCATGCCGATCGGCACGTGCTTTGAGGGTTCAGGGATTGAAGCTAAGGAAACTCATCGCCTTTCCCCAGCAAGTGCGTAAAACGCTTGGAGGGCTACCAGCCTTTTCAGCCAGAAGCTGAAAGCCTTTTTCCGTCCTGGCCCTCGGCGCCCGCCGTCTTCTATTCTGGTGACGTAAGGGTGGGGCCGCCGGCTGATCCAGAGGCCCTCAGAAGAAAATAAAGCGGAGACAGGTCATTACCAGCACAGGAAGCCAATGCTTAGCACAGGGACCCCGGTTGAGCTTACCGGGCTTCTGGACAAAGCGGGATAGAGGGCCTCTCATTTGGCGCTGGGACTGTTGATTGGCACAGCGCCCTTCCATTGTCTTGTTGTGGACCATCTCATTGCAATTAAGTACATCTCCCTCTAATGTCCGGACATCTCCCTCCAACGTCCGGACGCCACGACCAGTGCGAGGGACCTTCCGATATTCGGGGGACCGTCCTTGTCGATGTCCAGCAAACTCGATGTCGATATTCCTGGCTGACCCGGGCCCCTTGCCGACACATGATTCCCTGTCACACACTGTGCACCCCCTGACCGACACAGAGGCCACTCTTTGTCTCGGAGGTCCGGCTAATGCAAGAGGCCTTCTGACTGGCGGGACCCCGGTGTTGGGCTCTTTGAGAGGTGCACAGTGGCCTCCGGGCACACACGGGGTGGATTTCTCGATGTTAGCTGCCTCGTCGGGAGTTCCAGGCCGTTGTCCCCCCCCCCCTCCGCCTCCCGCACCAGAGACCCTCTGATGGACATTTAAGGGCCGGGTCCTGCAGGGTCGGAGTCCCTTTATATGACCTCTCACCAGCTTTTTAATATGACCAGCCCTCCAGCTGGGCCCCTGGGCATGGATCCGAAGCTGCCTGTCGGTACCATAGGGACATTTGGCTGCTAATGCGTCCATTTATTGAAGTAACCGAAATTGTCTCTCTGTCTCGCCCATCGACGGAGCACACTAAAGCAAATGATAAAATCTACAATCGAATTAACCCTCGACAACTTTAGCCAGTAACGTTGACATTCAACTTCTACTTTAAACCAGTTAAGGGCGGTGACTGTCCTGACCAGACACTGACTAGACCCGATGTGCGACAGTTATGAACGAGGTGGTATCATAAGTGCAGCGCTGCAACTATTTTTCGAAGTCCTTGTCCTCTTCTACGACGCTAATAACCTTATAAATTTTGTTACAGAGAATATTCGGCATTTGTATAATATTTTGAACTGAGATAGCTATCATGAAGATAATTCCCTGCAGTTTACAGCCCCGCCACTCTTAATTCCTAAGCCCCACTACTTTCGGAGCTAGACGTCCGCGAATATGTGCGGATTTTTCGGGCAGACTATTCCAAGGCTGCTCACGCATTCATGACGCCATAACATCATTCAAATCCTGACCTTCCATTGGCCACGCAGCCATCCAGGAAAAAAGTGCCGAGTCGTTTACATCTAGCGTTTGTGAGCACCGATATCCAGATATACCGACCGTCTATTGGCTCTCAATGTTATAAAGACACGACGACGCAATCAAACAATGACGTATTGAGGAGCATATTTACTAAACAGAAAAAAATATTTTGTCCAGGACAGCCTCTTCCTCTTAAAAGTATAACAATAGTTTTAAATGAAGTTATTTCATCATGTGCTTGCCTTTTATACCTATAAAGTCTGGCTTCAATACCCTCAGTTGTTGAACATCGGCTTTAAGATTGGAATCACTAAAATCCTTTTCTATTAGGTGCAAGCCATTTTTAATATCTAGTAAGCCGTCGGGCGTTCAAAGGAAAGAAACCCGATCGCATTCTCTTCTTAATTGCTTGAAAGGCGTTTAATTTAAAGTGAGCATCCAATTTAATAGATTGACCTAATTCTTTCATTGTTGTTTAGCCCGCGACGTGCATGCCCCGTGACGCGTGCTCAAACCGATCCGTGCAGCAGATTGTTCTCATTGAGTGGTACTACACTCCGATCGCGGCAAAGTTGAGATCCCCTGGTTTTCGTCACACTTCCTGCTTAATGACTGTTCCTTAGCTCCATGTACCGTTTCCTGGTATGGTTCGAAAAGGTGCTCTTATTGCCCGGTACATGGATTCCCTGGATCATTCCATCCGTGACTTTCTAAACTTCGACAACGACGTTGAACTCGATGCTAGTAGCATAGTAGAAAGTCGCGTCATCTAAAAACATGGTTTCACGTGCGCAACGCTTTTTAAAGGGTATCTGTCGGCCCTGAGCGCGTCTTGTGGGAGGAGTGCGACCATCAATGCGCCCTCACTGCGTGGGAACGGGGCAACTGACTTCTGATGTCCCGTGTAGCAATCGCCAGGCGCACGACGGTCCGTGGCGGCGCCTCTGCGGTCCGACATATTCGACTCCACACAAACACATGCTGACATTTCTGCGCTGCCAAGACTTCGTTTTGTGGACGAATCAGTGCCAGAAAATCCTCAGTAAGCCTGATTGGGCATAGGCTATCACCATGTGGTCCCAGTGACATTCAGCCTGTGGTTCATTCCGAGGAAGATTCTCTTTACTGTCCATTGTTTTAAACCACACATTGCAGGTTGCGGGCTTTCAAGTGGCACATTTACTGGTACCTTGGCCTCATTGTCATAGAATGCCTCTTTTATCACGAGCCGGAGCCATGTCGCGAAGGTTGAGCAGAGCCTGACCTCCGGCAGTAGACCTCGCGTTGGTGTTATGGCAGCAGTTGGAGACTCCAACAAGGTTGATGGTGTGCACCAGGCTCTGGCCGAACACCGCACGTTCTTCAGCCGTGACGCTGCGTTTCTGCGAGAAAGTCTGTTGACGCTTGAAGAGCCGGCTCTGTGTAAACTGCGCCAGCACCTATACCCCGTATCACGGTCACCATGCTGCCATGGTCGGAAGGACCATCACGAAGCGGACTGCGTACAAACTTACTGACGGCTGCTGGGCTTTGGGGGCGTCTGCGGCGCAGGGGGTACTTGTAAAGGAACCAGTTGTGATCCTGAAACCGCATGACCCGCGCGCTGGTGACATGCCACAGGTTCTTTATCACAAAAATCTGCCCCGACGGGCGACTTAGCTGCCAATCTAGAGACCACCCAGGGTATTGCCACTCGTCTGGATCGAGAAGTAGCATGGCTGCGTCAATCGAATGATGACCTCAAGACCACCGTGACGCCAGAAGCGTATCCCTGATCTAGAAGTGCACATAGCAGGAGGGAGTGATCGTACAGCTGATGCCGTTCCCGATTCCGATGTTTTTTTTCGGACCACTACTAAGTTCGAGCAGGTGTCCATGGTAACGGCAGTATTGTCTAGTCCACGTGATGCTGCAGCACCGTCTGGATCAGCTGCTACACGGAGAGCCGCAGTGCCGTCAGGACTGGTTGCCCCTTCGCATGACGCGGAGTCCGCTGTACCGTCTTCTGCCACGGCTGGGGCGACGCCGACTGCTCTGCTGCGGCGTTAGGTGGCGTAGTGCCGACTGAGGTTGCTGCCGTGGGAGGTGGCGCATCACCTTCGGCTGCACGCTGAGACGCCCGCTGCGCAGTGTGCTTCGACCGCTGCTGTGTTGGGCCTTGGACCGCTGCCCGGACGAGCTGCAGGGGGTCCTGATGTGTCGTCTCGGCCACCTGTGAGAATGTCACCTGGCTGCACAGCGCCCGAGGGAGCTGCGCGCAGAGCTCCAACAGGTGGTCAGTCAACATCGACTCTGATGTCACCAGCTTCTATGGCTCGTTCAGCTCACCATGAAGCAAGCGCCCTGAATGTCGAGCGCCCTGCAGGCGAGTTAGTCCAACAGATGAAGCGACGCGTGGCAGACCCAGGTACAGACAGCGACAGTAAACGGGAGGGTCCGGATGATGTCTTCGTCGACGCCCGCGTCAGACGGAGCGTGAGCCGCAACAGCCGGCTGACAGAGCGTGCTTCTTCACCCGCTCATGACGGAGCCTAAGCGCCGCGTAACTGGCTCAGAGATGCGCGGAGAGCCTGTCGGCACGCACGTAAGAAGGCTGCTGGTGCTCGGCCGGACCGAGAGGTGCGGCTTCTAGCCGGATTACGTCGTAGCGGGCGACTGCGCGCCTTTTGGACGCGCTCGGGGAGGGAGGTGGAGGGGGAGGGGGGGATGCGACGCGGTCTGCGGTGCTCGCGGTTATCGATCACAGCTGATGATTGCGCGTC